CCTGGATATGCTTGAGCTAATAACAATTGACATTAAACTAATATATATAGTAATACTGAACTTGTTTTATCTTGTATGTGAAGATTATCTGGGTCAAGATGCTGTTTAACAAAAACGTCTTATAGAGAATAATTTAAATAAATTATTTATATAATTTTATTGAGTACAAACAGGATGTTTTTATCTATTTGGAAACTAATTTCTTCCGTGAAACAAAACCACTTTTCATGGCTTAACAGGTTTTAAAGTCCATTCATAATATTTGATCTGACTGGCCTTCAAGGTTGCAGAGTGATGAAGCATATCTTGTACTTCTGAGGCATGCACAAGGAAGAGAACACAAATATTGTAAATAATATGCAGATCAACTTAACATATGTTGAAATAAATCGTTTATGGTGATTATGTTTACAGATACATTGATTTGCACTAAACTTATTGTATCTTCTATTTCTAATTCATCATGAGATATGCTGCTAGTATATGGCTGCACAATCCACAATATATCTATGATATAATGATATGCAAATGTGATATTTGCAGGGCAAGACACTCGCAGATGTTCAAAACAAGCTTAAAACAAGTTACTGGCCTGCAATGAAGATGAACTGGAAGGTTTGGACCCCATTTCAGTTCATCAATATCAACTATGTACCTGTACAGGTATGCATAAGAGCATTATACCAATCCTTTCATTCAGATTGCATCTCAGAAGGCATCTCTGATCCATCATCTCACTTTCTTTTTCTCTTACTCTTTGCACAGTTTCGAGTGCTGTTTGCCAAACTGGTTGCTTTATTCTGGTATGCCTACTTTGCCTCAGTCAGGAAATGAAACCACAAAACCAGCTACAGTGGACCTAGGTTGGTTTAGATTGGTTGAATCCAGTTTGTGCCTTTAAAGGACGGCTGCACATCAGATATGTTTTAAATGTCTTCGAGGACAACTGACAGGGAATATTGGTCAGTTTCTGTAATATAACTGTGATGTGGGTCGGTGATGAGATTTTACTTCCATTGACTGTTAATGAATTATTGCTCTGTTATGAATCATTTTAGAGAAAAAAAACAAATCTGCTGAATGTCTTTCTACTGCTTATGGAAGCACTGACAATGATGTCAGGATTTTGATTGTTGTATTTGATTAATTAAAAAACACTGATTACAGAGACAAACTCATTTTAGCAGTTTCTAATACTGCTGCTATTATTCTCACTCTTTAACTGTGAGTTGATTTACATTAATAGCAGTGGTCTTGCTAATATATTTTGTATACTTGTATAGCCCTGACAAATGCAGACAATGTTGTTTTTTTATGACATTTGATTCAATAATTCAATAATTACCAGCACACCAATAAAATGTATTTTAATTCATTTAGTGTTATAATTTAAAGGCTCAGTACTGGATGACAGTGTTTTTATTTATTTTAATTGCACATTTAAATTAAACTGAAGGAAATTATAAATTTACATGCTTAAGGATTATTTCAACCAAACATGAAGTGTGCCTCTGTGGAAAGTGACTGTGCATGGTCCTTCTTGGGTCTTTCACAAAAACGAGTCAGCGCCATTAAAAAAAATTAAAATAGGCCCTATATAATATGCACTGTTAGTATTAAAATTATAGCTTCAGATGCATGATATTTGTAGGGCCCTATGAAATCCGTTTTATTTTTCCCAAATTAGCCTAAGTTTAATTTTTTCTAGTATTAAATTATTGCTTCAGATGCATGCTATTTGTAGGGCTGGGGACCTATGAAATCTGTTTTATTTTCCCCAAATTAGCCTAAGTTTTTTTTCCTTTTTAATTTTTCTGGATTCAGTTCCCCCCCCCCCTCCCCTCCCCTCCCCCTTTTTTTCTCTGGATGATTATATTCAATTTTAACAAAAAACATGTCTAATTAATTAAAATCATGAAACTTGTTTAATTTAACAACAATTTAGGCCTATTAAAAGTTTAACAAAAATTACATTCTAAAGCCCCGTTCACACCAAGAACGATGAATATAAAAATAACATTAGCCTCCACACCAGCGGTGTGGAGCAATGATATGTCTGTTTATTCTAAGCGCACATGCATCTGTCGCTTTAAATTCTTGAGCTCGTTACAGCAGGATGGATTCTGATTGGCTGTCAGTGTTTTATCGTTCATCAGCTGGAAAAAATCATTTTGAAAGTGATTCCAACAATATTGTTCCTCTGTATCGTTATCGTTATAGTGTGAACTATGCTATTCTTTAATATTGAGAACGATTTTTAGAACTATATCTTTATCGTTATCTTTATCGTTATCGTGCTTGGTGTGAAAGGGCCTTTAGGGCCCAAATTCTGCGCTTTCTTTTTTTTTTTATTTAAATTTTTCTGTATTCCATTTGAATGGTTTAATCAAAAACATATCTAATTAATTGAATTCATAAAAACAATTTAATTAATTAATTTGAAAGCCCCGTTCACACCAAGAACGATGAATATAAAAATAACATTAGCCTCCACACCAGCGGTGTGGAGCAATGATATGTCTGTTTATTCTAAGCGCACATGCATCTGTCGCTTTAAATTCTTGAGCTCGTTACAGCAGGATGGATTCTGATTGGCTGTCAGTGTTTTATCGTTCATCAGCTGGAAAAAATCATTTTGAAAGTGATTCCAACAATATTGTTCCTCTGTATCGTTATCGTTATAGTGTGAACTATGCTATTCTTTAATATTGAGAACGATTTTTAGAACTATATCTTTATCGTTATCTTTATCGTTATCGTGCTTGGTGTGAAAGGGCCTTTAGGGCCCAAATTCTGCGCTTTCTTTTTTTTTTTATTTAAATTTTTCTGTATTCCATTTGAATGGTTTAATCAAAAACATATCTAATTAATTGAATTCATAAAAACAATTTAATTAATTAATTTGTATACAATAATAGGGCCCTATGAAATTTTTATTTTATTTACTTATTTTTTTAGAAATTCTGTGTTGTTTATTTTCAATTTCTGGTAATCAAATGAAAAAACGAAAACGAAAATGAACGAAAACATTAATAATCCGTGTATCATTCGATCGTTCGTTTTTTTATTTAACATTGAAATTAGAAAAATTAGAAAACGGCTCCTTTTTCGTGTTTTTGTTTTTTTCCGAAAAACAAAAATTCAGCTTAAATTTTCGTTTTTTGTTCATGGGTGGAAAAATGAATAAACAGCTTGACTATTCGATTTCTACACGTGGGCGGGAATTAAACGCCCCTTTCTGCTGATTGGTCAGCCAAAGATCAAACCATGCCTTCTTCAGTTCTTCTGCAGTATCACGCAGCAGAATAATAGTCCTCCACTGCTGCAGTTGTACGGATTAATAACCCATTTTAGTGCAACTACATTTCATATTTTTCTCATCCAACAAACAGGCTAATGAATAGCTCGACACAACTCAAACCTGGGCAGAGTCTAGACAGGTCTTTCTTCTGTGTAGACCAGCGGTTCTTAAAGTGATAGGGGGTCCGAGAAATAATTTATATGATGCATTTAAAGTAAAATAATCTAAATGACGCCTTTAAAAGACAAGTATTCCCTGTGGTTCATGTTTGTGGCATGTGCCAAAAAGACTCTCAAGGAGACCGAGACGCGCTAAAGCAGCGCATTCTGTTGTGCTCTTTATTTTTCAAAGGCATGACATTTTGTAGTTATTTCTGCTTTAAATATGACTGCTGCTTATTTCCTGTGCACTTCAATACTGGTCTGCACTTGACTGTAGTCACATCTGTCTGCTCATGGAGTTTATTTAACCCATCGCAATTTATTGGAACTGTATGAACTAGAGTGACTACTCACCTTAATGTTGTTCTAAAGGCGCATTACTTATTAACACAAAAATGTTCTGCTCGCACTTGCCAATTTAATGGCAGAGAATGGTGACTGGTTTGGTGAGAAACAAACTGAAATGGCAAGTTATTATATTTTATGAAAATCTTGCGTTGCAGTGCGAGTGCGCAGTAGCTCACGCCGCGCACAAGTGCATATCCTTTTGAGATATCATATAAATTATAATCAATTTTAATAAAACACGACTACATTGTATAACTCTAACAGTAGGCTATTTAATATCTACTGTTCTCCGGTTGTCAGTCAGAATGACAGTTCTTGCGTGAACAAAGGCCTATATTTACCCAAGCCAATTTATTATTCTTTCCTTTTTGTCTTAGTGTTTAAAATATTTATTTTGAAACGAATTCATTAATTACTTAGACTTACTGGGTGAGCAGGGTAGGCTAAGACAGCTGTCATATCATACCCTGCCATGCCCAGCTGATGCAAAGAATATAATTTATATCTACACAGAAGAAAGCCCTGTCTAGACTGTGCCCGGTATGAGTTGTGTCGAGCTATTCATTAGCCTGTTTGTTTGATGAAAAAAGATGAAATGTAGTTGCAATAAATGCATTAAGAATCCATATAACTACAGCAGTGGAGGACTATTATTCTGCTGTGTGATACTGCTAAGGCACGGTTTGATCTTCGGCTGACCAATCAGCAGAAAGGGGCGTTTGATTCCCGCCCACATGTTCAAGCTGTTTATTCATTTTTCCACCCATGAACGAAAAACGAAAATTTAAGATGAATTCTGGTTTTTCATGTTTTGGAAAAAAAACGAAAATACGACAAAGGAGCCGTTTTCTAATTTTTCTACTTTCAACATTAAATCAAAAAATGAATGATCGAATGATACACGGATTATTAATCTCTTTTATTCCAATGTAAATTAAACAAACCTTTTTAATTTGTACATTCAAAATGCTACACAACAGAAGTTTACTGTGTAACGAGCAAAGTCACGGAATTCGTCAAATATTGAATGAATAAATCAAATGCAATTCAGTACACTTCAATCAAACCGCGATATGGACTAGTGTACGTGAATATTAAATGGCAAAAATACTATTTAGCTACTACAGACGACAACCGCAAGCGTTGCGTGTGCTTAAATAGCAAACGAAACGCATTAATTCCATTATGTGGTGGGATGACCTTAATAGGTCAGTAATAAACAGGCGAAAGGGGCCATGAGGTGACTTTGATAAACGGGCACATTTTTATTCAGACAGGTCAAAAGTATTAAAACACCACATCACCAATATTTGATGCAAATACCCACATGAGGAAAAAATGAAAATAAAAATAAACAAACAACAAAAAGAAAAACCAACTATAGATGGCCACAGGTCACCTAGAAAGTGAAGACAGAAGTGGCACCAAAGCAAAAGTGTTCTCACAGCAGTCAAGCTCACAGCAATCACACTGCAAACCTATAAGAAAACCAAAGATAAAGTGATCAAACCACCACGCAATCCCAGCCACCTCACCACCGCCATCCGCACAGTGAAGGCAACTCAGTGGCCACCATTGGCTTAAGAAAACCAAAACTGAACCTACAAAAGAAAAGAATAAACATCTTAATTAACAGTAGGCAATGCAGGTGACAAACACAAGTCAGCATTATAACACAATCACTACTAATCCAGTTTCTTTGGGGCCTAATCTCTGCTCTGACACTCTGGGTCCCAAATTCACAGAACAAAAAGAAATAAAAAAACAATAATAAAAGTATTAAATCTAAAGTAAACGGCAACCGTGCATCCCTAAAAGGGAAAACACAGTCCATTACAACAAATGAATATGAAAATATAAAAACACAATTTAAATAAAATGCACTCACTATAAATACTAAACAATTTAAAACATAAAAAGCTCCCTTTATATTAAACAATACCTCTAACATCCACTATTTCCGACTGGGACAGTCAGGCAACCATCAGTCAGGCAATAATCCAGTCACAACACTAAAAACAAAGAGAATAATATCATTAAAACAAACTCCTAAGAACTAGGTCATCAATACTACAAAACTACTACCTCCTTAATCGGTACATCATATGTTCAGTTCACGACGAAACTCCGGCATTATTTAACGTAACTGCTTATCTGCTGCCATTCTTTTGAAGTGCTATATCTGCCACAACATCAATTCATACACAGAATACAATCAATAAAAGTAGCGATGTAGTGAGAGAGCACCTCTCACAAACAAATCTCATCACCTACCATTCTGTTCAACTTCTAAATCATCCACGACATCACCGAAATCAAAAGCGGAAGCGAAAGAGCAAACAAACTTCACTACTTCCTTATATAACGCTGGGGCTGCTGGGACGTGTAGTGCCCAAATCATGGTCCATTACAATTACATTCCGCGTTACACAGTAAATTCCGTTTTTATGAATAGATTCCGGGATTCCATCCTCATTTTCTACATCGCCCTACTTTTGCTAAGAAGCACGTTCAACGCGGACACACAGACGGTTATCGTGGTAATGAACACCACAGCAACCACGTGTGGGTCAGCACTGAACGCGCATCTCGCATATAAAAAGCATTTTAGGGGGCCCTTGGCTTTTGGGGGCCCGAGGCGGTCGCCTACCTTTGCCTAATGGTTAAATCCGCCTCTGCCTGCTGTCCAGCCTACTATTGCATGATGCAGTCCAAACTAGTCTCACCTGATATATATTGTAGGTGACACTCTTTATATTACTTTGAGCAGTGTTTGTTTATTGCCCAGGATGAGCTTATTCTTCTCTAAATAAGCTGAAGAAGTTAAAGCAGCCATATGGCTACAAAACGTTATTTACCAAGAAACTATTGTTTAGGCATTTAATATATGTTAAATGCCTAAACAAGCCACTTCTTCGTCAGTTTTATCACTAAATGTGTATGTCTACTCAATATGGGTCAACAACATGTCAGTTAAAACAATAATCTGTCAAATATGTATTATAAATATTGACAAATTTAGTATTCACCTCAATGAATGAATGAATTGGGACCAGTCTGAGAATGAAAATCAAACTGAGAATGAATTATCACCACGGTCAAATAACGTTGTTGAAAATAGCCAACTATTTACTTACAATTTGTGTAAAGGAGTTAGCAGTTCATGGCTGTGACAGTAAATATAAGCAGTTACTAACAATTATATTAAAGAAAAGGCTAAAAGACACAGAACGACTCACCAAAATGTGATTTTGTTGAACATAACCAATAAATTAAGGGGCCCCGCGTTATTTATAATGCTGTTTTTCTTACATATGTTTTAAACTGAAGTATGAGTTATGGTCTGAGCTGAGGACATGGTTTTAAGGGAAGTGATAATGTAATGTCATCATTTTGATCAAATAAAAAGATAATGAATTAACATATATTTGTGATCAGCTCTAATTCATTTCCAAATGGAAATACGCAGCCTATTAACACAAAAAGTATTAGTGAAACTGGTGTTTTGTGTATACCAGTTACTCTATAGGCATAACAAGTCAATAAAACATGCAAAATACACAGGACTGGTTTGAGCATTTATATTTTATTTAGCAAGAAAGGGGTTGACAAGAACATATACAGAAACCTTAAACTGGAACTGTATGAGGAAGGATTACACTTATTGCATATTTTATAAATTTCTTAAATGACATGAATACATTAAATCACAATTAATAAATAAATATAATAAAATAATATAAATATTCTGATACTAATAGATATTAAATAGAAAAAATAAATGCAATTTAAAAAATCGGAGTTTAGCATAAATCAATTTATTATTTGCTATTAACGTGCAATAATTTTATAAGACGTATATAGTCTATTTCTATATACACAGCACTAAGTTATTTTTGTTTCACACTTTGACGTTAATTAAAGGAGAACGCAAAATCATGGGATGTATCCTCATCAGGTGTTGTGTGTCTACATGTAGATCAGATTTCCTATGAATCCTGCTTAATTTGTGATTTGTTTTGTTGTATGATTGACATATCCCAGTCAATTTATCTTTGTGAATACTTAGAAGGGAAACCTAGCAAGAATATGGGAATGCAATCCATACTCCAGATCCTGAGTATTTACTAAATAGATTTTCTGCTGACATAAATATTTCAGTGTACTTTCATTACCAGTGTTATTCTGTAAATTCCTTGTTATATGTTGATTTTACATGATGCTATTTGCACAATTGTATATTTTTATGATATTAGTGTGTATGATTGTGTGGGCAAATATTTTTTCACATGAACATTAAATTAAATAAATTCTGCAACAGTAATGCTTCCTATCTGCTTTCTCTACACTTAACATGTTTTAAATCTCGTAACTAAAACCCTTAGGATTTTTTTAAGTCATGCTGGTTAGGAACAACATGAGGGTGAGTAAATTGCAGAATGTTCTGTCCCTTTAAGGGTTGGTCTGGCTTGTCTCTTTAAGAGACAGCATGTGGATTCGCTGCGTTTGACTATCTTCAGCAAAGATTTGATTTGATCTTTGTTCAAAAAAAAAAAAAACACTGAGCTCTCATGACCCAAGTTCACAGACTGCCGAACTAAACTGAAGATGCCAACGCAAAGCGTCCTTGTCGGAGATTTACTTGAGTTTGTTAAAGAAATATCCAATCATCACCAAATCGGTTACGAGGTAAATTTACATCTTTGTTAGTTGGCTAGCTGGGATTTGGGGAAATTCAGTCCTGTCAAAAGTAACACTCACTTTTGGACCAAACACAAAAAGATTAGTGTCTTCAACATTAGATGCAAGGCCATGTGGGTACGATGATACAATGGCAGTTTTGTTCTTTCTTACAGTGGTATTCTATCTGCTGTGGGAAATCTTCTGTCTCAAGCTTTGGAGTACAGGAAGAACAACAAAGAAAATAGCCCGAAAAAGAACATCAGTGTCCCCCTGGGACCTGTACACTTTGCAATATTTGGGTAGAGTGACAATGCATTTTGATTACATACACCCCATATCATGTAAAATATTTATGTTTTACATATTTGAAAGACTACACATACATGTGCTAAATGACTAAATAAATAAATGAACATGTCACAGTACACATTAAGTCATTTTACAAAAATATTTAATACCCGGACTGTTAAATTCGTTACAAATGATTCAAAAGTCTGACTTTTTTTTTTTAGACTTTTTATCACTGGTCCAGTCAGTCATTACATCTACCAGCTCTTGGAGGTGCTGTTGCCAACCACTGTCCCACACTGCCTGATCAAGCGCCTTCTGCTGGAACGTCTAATATTCGCCCCTGCTTTCCTCTTGCTCTTTAATGTGGTTATGAATGCTTTGGAGGTAATGTTTCATAGCTGGACTTCTTTGTGAGATTAATCATGTTTTCTACTTTGTTGTGCAGAAAAATAAGCTTTCTTAAATACAGCACAACAATATTGAATCATTTCTGCATTTGTTTAGACTTAACTCGTATTTTGGA